GTACATCGCTCTGAGGGACAGCAGTCTCTCCTGGGACCACAGGAGGATCCGATGTGCCAGTTTGCATAATGGGCGCGAGCGCAGATCCCCCAGGTGATTCAAATAGGCCACCACCGCCGTATTGTCGGTCCTGACAAGGACGTGGCGACTGCGGAGAGCGGGCAGAAAACTCCTCAGAGCTCTGAAAACCCCCAACATTTCCAGGCAATTTATGTGCCAAGAGAAATGATGCTCCTCCCAGGAGCCTCTCGCGAAGCGGTCGTCCATGACCGCGCCCCATCCCGTGAGTGAGGCGTCTGTTGAAATAATTGTTCGGCGACAGATTGCTCTCAACACAGGACCTTGGGACAGGAATAAAGGCTTCCTCCATACGGATAGGGAACGAAGGCATCCGCTCGTAACCCGTATCAGACGGAGCGGATTTCCCCTCGGGGAGAATCCCTTGGATTTTAGCCACCACTGCAGGGCTCTCATGTGCAGTAGTCCGGAAGGTATTATACTGGACGCTGCTGCCAGAAGACCCAACACCCTCTGAAAGTGTTTCACAGTGATGGCGCGGCCTAACTGCACTTTGGTCACTGAGGATAAAATGGACTCGATGCGTGCGGGAGACAGGTGGGCCCGCATCGTCGTTGAGTCCCACACCACCCCTAGGAACGCAGTCCGTTAGGCGGGTGTCAGCACGCTCTTCTTCGCGTTGAGCCGCAGCCCCAAACGCTGAAGGTGGGCGAGGACGACATCTCGATGCCGAACCGCTAACTCTCGAGACTGGGCCAGGACGAGCCAGTCGTCGATGTAGTTCAGTATGCGGATGCCCTGGAGCCTCAACGGAGCCAGAGCTGCATCCATGCATTTGGTGAACGTGCAGGGAGATAGTTCTAGGCCGAACAGAAGAACCCGATACTGGTAAGCCGTGCCCCCGAAGGCGCCGCTGATGACGTTCCGTTTCCTCTATGCTAAGCACATTTAGCTCCTCAGAGCCAGATCGTGTCAGCCTTTCCGGACTCGCCCCTCGAGTGGGAGAAACCGTGAAACGGGCTCCCGATCGGGGACGAGGGGAGGAGGATTCCGCAGACAAAGGACCGGAAAAAGGCCTCAGCCATTCCGGCACCCTCGGCAATCTCGCGTTGTGATCCCCAGGATCGGAGCCGCCGTGACGCCTCAGCAACCGCGGGGCCTGTGCCACGAGGGGAGCGCATCCGACCATCCTCTAGGAAGAGAGCCGCTCGAGACCTCAGCACCCTCAGGGGCAGGGCCTCGCAATGGTCGCAGGCAGCCCCCTCGAGAGCCGCCTGAGCATGCGACATCCCCAGGCATGAGACACACATCCCATGGGTATCACCTTCTGTGATGAAACACTCACAAGGGAAGACACACTGTCTTGACATGATCTTCTGCTGCTTCGTCTCGATGTCAGGTAGAAAAATGGAGCTTCCAAACATAGCCAGAGTGCCTGCTGAATAGAAAGAAGCTAATGTGTCTTATGTGCCGGCGTGCTTATATACCCCCTCCGGTTACGCCGTCACACACTACCGTTCTAGTAACACCAATAGGATTGGAGTAGTTTCATTCATAGTTCAGCCCTGCCACGCCCAGGGGCGTTCCCATAGTGTCGTCACCGACGCAGTTCGAGTTCCCTCAAAGGGGAACACCTTTCCAACATTCACTGACAATTAAGCAATAAACAATGGCTGAATAATGAGAATGGAGGTTCGATTGTGGGAAGCATTTGACTAGGGGTATAAAGATTCCATATGCTGGACTAAAGAAAAATGTATTAGCAACTATTGGAGGTCACTGGCCACAGATACAGGGTTTTGGTCTTACTGCTTGTCGACGGCCTACTTTGGCCTGTTCCACGAGTCCCACACTAGCTGCCCGATCCTGGCTTTTTGCTAGGGATTCTCCGGGGTTCTCCGTGTCTGAAGAAAAACCTGTTTTCAGGTTTCCTTCGTTGCCGCTGGCGAGACCACGTGGCTTGGTTTGACCTCGGTGAAGTTGGCTCGACGAAAAAGCTTAAAAAGGGAACTTGGTCGTTCTCGAATTAGACCAGTGTAACTTAACGGACTGATAACTTTAACAAAACAAAAGAAAGAAAAAAAATAAAACAAGTCCAGTTGCTGGAACTGAGGGGCAAATCGATGTCGCGGCACTTCGCGTGTGTAGCTTCAAGCGAACAAAAACTTTGTTGCGCTGGTCGAACTCTTAGGGCGTTGCCGGGAGAGGCACGCCGGACACATCCAGAGAGCAGAGCGGAAGACCAGAGCACGAGGAGAAGAGAAGAGGGCGGGCAACGTCATGTGTCGCTCTTTTGTGGTCTGGGGCGTGGTTCTCCCAGGGGGCGTTTCCGGTTTCCCGAAGGACTGCCTTTCTAAACTTTTAATGTCTATAAAAGAAAAGAAAATCTATTTGCGCGTATTATAATCAAATATTTTCCACAATCAAACCTCACTGGTTAAACAGTTGTACCGTTGTAAGCTAAGCATTTGGTAACAATTATTGGTAGTGATGAATGAGTGACATTTATACATTAACGGCATTTCCGACGATGGTATGTAATACTTTTTTCATCCACTTGGGGGAGCTCCGGTTACATGAGGAAAGCTTAGATTAATCCAAAACAATCTTTCCTTAGGAACTGGGGAATTTAGTTATTTAGCCTTAAATTCAAGCTGGCAATTAAGAGTATAGTATGGCATTTCTTTATCATCATTTCTAAAGGAATTGTGTGAGAAAGTATTGTGAACAAGCATTGGTTACACATAAAATGACGAGTATCCTTAATCTTGCTGAAAATAAAAACACTGCAAAAGTAACTTATTTAGATTCTTTTCAGCACTAATATCAACAACAGATAGCAACAACATGGTACTACTCAAATAGAGGCAAACGTAATCAAGTAACTAAAAGATTGGAAACAGTCTTTGGAGACTGCAGTCTTTGTTCATTTAAAGTTCGGCTGTCCTGGATTATGTCACACTTTGGCGTAAAAGTGGGTATCCCTTTGATGGGGTAATGAAACACAGAGCAAGGTCAGTTGCCACGGTTACATGTGTGGGGGCAGTTTAGGGTTTCCTGCCCCCCTCCAAGGAGAGTTCCGATAGGCTGTTTGTAATCTCTGATTAATTTCTTTGTCATTTTAACAATTCAGGCACCGAGAGGCTTATCTTGGCTGTTGCCAAAGGTGGCCAGTTTTACGATCAACTGCTCATGAATAGCACTTAGTGAGAGTGACCTCCACCCCCATTCTGTTGGGGTCTCTTCAGCCGTCTGTTGAAAGTTGATCTCAACCCCCCTGCTCCTCTCTGGGAGAGGAAAAGAGGAATTTGGAGTAGCTCCAAATTTATTCAATATAAAATGCACAAATCCACACTGTTGTCCACTACATATTTTTGAGGAGGTGCATAGCCTCTGCGTAACCCCGTAGCCTATGCCGTCGATTCCACGCAGAAGTTACACTTAACTTTCTGGATACTGTTACATTACCCAATTGCACTGTCAGTTACAAGCATATGTTTTCTGGGTCTCTTCTATTAGAATAACTATGGCTTAGTAGGAAGCTATTTTTGATCATTAGGATGAAACTTGAACCTTTCAGTTGGAAAATCTACCTTACCTTTTTTTTTGTCAGTGGAACATCTGAGAAACGGCAAAGAGTTATTTTCATCACCCCTAGGTTTCCTCAATATTTGCTCTCATAATATTTTCTTGCCAGGTTTCCTCTTTACAGAGGGTCAGTGGGGTTAGCTTAGGATAGGCAGGATAGGTAGATTTTCCAAAATGCAGTCTTGTCTTGCACAGGTTGTTGCCTTGATATTGCGTCATTTTGTTCTATGATTGTTGTTCAGTGTAGACTTTAAGTAAGACCATGAAGACATGCTTTGTGATGAAAGGCTTTACGAATAAACATACCTGACTTGACATGAAAGCTGCCAAGAAAGTGTGGCAACTGAAGTAATTGATAAACACTAGTAAATCACTTTCAGTCTTTGTGAAAGATCCTCATTATATAAAATGACTATTAACTGAAGTCGTGTGTCTCCCATACACCAATAAGCATCGAGTATCCATGGCCCATTAGTGGGGTTGATGAGCCTTAGAGGGGCCAATTGTGTCCAAGCATCCCAGCGTCCCAGCAAGAAGAAAATGTTGTTTAGTGGTGAAGAGCCCCTCTACATGTTGTTGCAGGTGTTTCATCTGTTTGAATGGTTGTGTGTCAGACTGGGAAAGTGATGAATGAGAGACATCGTTGGTGACAGATGATACAAGCAGTCAGTCCTCTACTCATCATTATGGCCAAAGCCCTCAAGGACAATAGAAACCTAGAAACTCTTGATCTGAAGGTCACAAAGATTGCAGTGTGCATAATCTAAACCCAACAGTTCTACCTATTATTGCAGCATTTATGGAGCCTGTCACGCTCCTAGCATGTTAGATATTACTATATCCGATGATGTTCTTTTGCTGATTACGAAGTTTGTCTCCGCTATGATGCCACATAGATTTCATCCCCTTTGTGTACTTTATATTCTGTGTCTATGGGCTATGTAGTTATCCCTTTTCATTTAAAATGAAGGAACACTTCTTAAGGGCTGAAACAATTAGTGATTAATCAGATAGACAATTGTTAGAAAAAACGCATTACTAATTCTAATAAATAATTATTTAAGGAAAACATGCAAAACATTTACAATTTACCGCTGCTGTTTTGTTTGTTTTTTTCATTGTAAATATAACGTCTTTGAGTTTTGGTCTCGTCGTACTGTACAAAAAAAGTTATTTGAAGCTGACTTCTGCGAAATTGCAATAGGCATTTTTACTGTTTTCTGACGTTTTATAGACAAAATGATTCAAGACTCCGATTCACTTTCATTGTGTGTTATTTCTTTGTTTCTTCCATTGTTCTAACGTATTCCTCTTCCTTACCTTTATCTCCCACTCCCTCTACTTTCATCTCAACTCCACTTCTTTCTATCTTTCTTTCTTTCTCTCCCCCTCAGGTGTTATTCTAACACCCAAGCTGCCTCAAGTGGACTTCAGCCTCGGTAAGTCCTATGTGATTCAAGGGTCATTTTACATTCTTGTATGCACATTAGATAAAGGACATATGGACCACTCAATTGAATGATTGTTCACTTTTAGTAATGGCAAATCCCTCTTTCGTTGCTCAGAAAGACAAGTTTATGGCCTATCTGCCCCCTTGGCTGAAATAAATTTAAATGTAACAATTGTAAAAACACACCAACAAACAGTCACATGCTGACATTTACACTAATGCAGCAGTCAGTCTGAATTAGTGGCATATCTGCAGACGTCATATATACACATCCATACACCCAAGAATAATTATGAGGGACAAAACAGAAAACATTAGACAGAATGTTGAGAGAGTCCTTGTGAACTTTTCGTCGAGATGGCTTCATTAATTTTTCATGCAACTGAGATGTTGGAATTCTATTTCTAGGCAATTCACTGTGGCTCAGGTCAAATTTCCTGGAGTGAAATCTAAACTCAGATATTGTTCTTATGGTCTTTGACGAACAAGAGTGACAGCATCAAACACTAGTGTCTTTGCTCCCTTGTTTCTATCTTTTAAGGCTTCCCACTGTTTCATTCACAACAAACTGGATAATGACTGAACACAGATTTTCCAGGGATGTGGCTACAATATTTTGTTTCAAACTGATCTTCCCTGGTGTCACTTGATACTTCCTGTATCTGGGCAGTGCTCTGTGCATCTCTTATGAGCATTAAAATAATTTTCAGTGTGATTAAACTTCATGTTGATACCTCATGGTTCTTAACACTCCTGATAGTCCCAATACATAGAGGGCAAAATAACAGTGAGTCATAAAGACATATGATCAGAGTTAATTTATATAGCGATTGTGTGGGGCTCAATAGGAAAGTCATCATCCTGAAAACATGCACACATTCACAAGTGCACATAACTGGGTATATGTGCACACGTCGTAGATGAAGGCATATCAATATATTCAGCAACAATCTAATAAATCCTTGTAATGCTTGCTTTTGTTTCTAAATGTTCATTCTATTGGAATTGTATACTCAAATGATACTGTAGATTGAGGATCGGCACTCGAGTGGAAAAACTATTTGAATGTAAATTCTCTGTCATGGCAGAAAATACAGCTGACAGCTGGCACAGAGAAATACCATGTCCCTCTTTGAGTGCCCTGGTTAAATGTGTGCTTTTAAGCATATTGAAGACACATTATGAAGCAAGACCAGTCAGTGCTTTATAGACAAGCAAGAAAACTTAAAAGTAAAATTGAGGTATTTATCATTTTACAACATATGTTTGTATAAATGATATGAATTGCTTTATGCTACTCACAAAAACCAAACATTATATAAATTATATACAGTAGATGTACTGGAAGCTGATAAAGTGATTTGAGGAAAGGTGTACTTTTTTATCCCTGTTGAAACTCTGCAGTTTTCTAAATGACCTGCACACACCCCACATTCCACAGATGTGAAAAAAGTACACTAGTTTAAGGAGTAATTGTTGATTTGTCCCTGTATTTGTGTATGTGGTTGTGTATAGGAGTGGCGCCTAACTTCTGGAATTAACTAGCAGCTAATTAACATTTAATTACTGTAGACAAACATGGTATTTAGGGGAATAAGGCTACGCTTAGCTGGTCATGATTAAAGGGGCACTTCACCGATTTTACTCATCATGGGGAGTACCACTCAGTGAACAGCTGTACTTAAAAAAGTAAAAGAAATCCTGCACTACAAACGAATTTTGAAAAAGGTGACAAGGACAAGGAGGTGGCTGCGGCTCAGAAGGTAGAGTGGGTTGCCTGTTAATTGGAAGGTTGGCGGTTCAATCCCCAGCTCCTCCAGGCTGCATGTCAAAGTGTCCTCGGGCAAGATACTGAACCCTGAATTGCCTGGTGGCTGTTCCACCAGTGTGTGAATGTTAGTTTCTGTTTAAGTACTTAGGCTCAGTGTGTGTGTGAATGGTGAAAGCGCTTTGAGTGGTCGAAAAGACTAGAAAAGTGCTAAACAAATACAGAGCGTTTACATTTAGTTGCATTCTGGAGAATTGAGAATCCAGCATTTTTGTAATCTACACTACACACGAAATCATTAGTGTACCTCTTTAAATCAAATTCACAAACACATACACTTTCAGACTGTCAGCAGAACATTCTGTGGTTGTTGCTGCGGTCAGAGCAGTACAGTACCATAAACTAGTCAGGTGAATTTCAAAGTCATCGATTAAAGCTTAACAATATGACTAGTGATTAACAGCAGACCATATACAGCCTCTCAGCTTACAGCTCTCAGCTATATACAGAGTCTGGGAGAACAATTTCTCCTTACTTCTGCGCAGATACATTAGAACAGTGGTCAACTGTGTATCTGTGTATCAGGCTCAATACTTGCTGGATTTTACTACTGCAGCACTAAACTTATTATTTTTACAAACAAAAAATAATGAGGGTATGTTTGCCTCTGTTTTGACACATTGTCATAAAATGTGATGTGAAGAATACAAAATGTAAGATAAGTAAACAAGCTCTCTGGAGAAATTTTAATGTTTTGCACGTTTGTCATTGTAAAATACCAACCAATTTAAAATGTTGACTTTTGCGCCTTACTGGAGAATTATTAAATTTAAGTCTCTTAAACCAACAACTGGATGAGAAGAAATATGGATAAAATGAATGGTTAATTGTTCATCTTTTAATGTTCCCCAGCAACTGCTTTTCATCAAAAATTTGCACGTAGATTGCTTTCAGGAGAACACAGTTCTCATTTGGGGTGGTAAGTCTACCACTGGCTCTCTCACAATTTGAACACTGAATTAGATGCAGCAGTACTAAAAACTGAGACTTGGCTGTGATACGACATTTACCGTGCTGTCTATTTTCTATGCAAGTAACATGTCTATTGTTATTAAAACTCAAACGTAAAGTGTGCCTCCATAAAGTTATGCATATTTATACACAAATAAGTTCACAGAATGAGAGGCTTATGCATAATGCTGGCACATAAAATACTTTAACAGCAGCATATTGTAATTTTGAATATTTCATACATGTGTCTCTCCAAGTTTTCTTAATATTTTATTAGAGTGTCAGTGTAAATGATGGTCGTGAATTGTTGAATATTAGGTCAATTCTGTACTGTGATTTACCACAGTAAAAGCAAAAGCATATTTTTTTTTTTATTTCTATAAAGACTCTGTTCTTGGTTCTTTATAGCAGCGATAGTGGAGTTCATTTCATTACAGAAGGTTTAAAATGCACTGTCAGTATAAAAACAAACAAATTCCCCTGTAAATTACTCAGAAGTAACAGGTGCAAATTAACTGTGAATGGCAGCAAGACAAATGAGTTATTATACCAATTCTATTCAAACTTGAGGCTCCCTTCACATGTGAAACACCAAATTACAGGCATTATATTGAGGTCTTGAATGAATTTCATCATATGCTTGTCAATAACTTATGAATTTACATGAGTGATAAGCTGTGCAGCAAGTGAAGGACATATTTATCACAACACGACAGCCCTTCTTTTCCCTCTGTATTCCCCAGACCCACTGGCAAACAGGTGTGCAAAATGGCGGCACATGCAAATAATGTTGTCAAATTAATTGAAGCGTTGAAATAATTATCATGATGAATAAGCATCTTCTGGAGATGAGCATATATTCCTGTCTCCCGTGGCAACTCCCAGGGCTCCCCTCACAATTAAATGGAATTTAGATTCATCGTGGGGTCTCAGAGGCCCACTGAATTAAAACTCATTTCCAGCAAATTCATCTTGAAAGAACTCCACATATTCCAACCACACAAAATAAATACAGCATAGTAAGTGAAGCCTCCAAGGATGGGCAAACATTATTACTCCAATTGCTCAATTGTTATGGTAATTTAAGAATCAGTCTCAGTATACTTTGATAGTTGAGTCGTTTGACTAAAATTGCAAGTCATGTCATGGATGAATTAATTTTCACCTAAGCTAAGGCAGGTAATTCACCAACAAATGACCAAAAATACAAATATAACATTCTTTAAGACACTCTAAATTTGATCACTTTTTCAACTCTTCAATTCGTTATTTGACTTTTAGTAATCCAAACTTTTCTTTTCTCCTTCCATGTCACTCCCTCATTATCTCCCTTCTCACTCGGGCTTCCTTCCTCAAACTCTAAATGTCTCTCTAAGGGACTCCCTTGTCCTTTCCCTTCCCTCTGTTGCCCTCTTTATTTCCCTTTCCTGCCACCCACACCAAGCATCATAACAGCTCTGACCTCAGAGGGTCAGCCGAAGTCTCATATCCCTGTAAGAGAGCCAGTCTGGTGATGCATGGTTGAGCACTGAGTCCCATTTCCATCACCAGTCTGGCTGTGGTTAAATGTGCAGCGGGGTAGGGAAGATCCCTCAGGCCAGTCAAATATATGTCCCCTGAGGTGACTGATGGGGACGGTCTGCAGTATCCCATCTAAGTTTGTATGTGTATGTGAGTGGTGCAGAGAAAAAGAATGAAAATAATGTTAGAATCATATCCAGAAAAGAGAGCCAGTGTAATTTTGATAAATGGAGAAGTGATGATATGATGAAACAAACTGAAAGAAAAAAGATCAAGCTCTTTGGAAATCTTTTGTAGCCTCTAGCAATTACTAAATGTGCATGTGTGTGAAGATCTGTTCAGTATGTCTTTGCATGTCCGTAAACAGTGAAACACCATTTACACCTACGTTATTGACACAGCAGACTTCCAATCACAGGCACACAGATGAAGTTTGGGTGAATATCAGTGCCTATAAACATATTTTTGACTTAGTTTTGGTTTTTGCCTGCACACAAACTCCTCTGCTTCACCCTTCCTCCAGCATAAGCAAATGCAAAACCTTCTTTAATGTGAGTCCAAAAGACCTGGCACCAGGATCTTGAAGAGAGAAAGGGAATTTGGAATCAGAGTAGCCCCTAAGAGATAATACATGCATGAGCTCTGCTGCACTGCAAGATATTTTACAACTCTGTCTTGTAGCCTTTTCC